GTTACCACTTAAGGCTAACGTTTGGGGTCTTTATTGAGGTAAATTAACATGGTTAAGATTCTTTAGAGATGAATTAATTACTTTTGCAATGTTTAGGTGGGTAAGTAGCAGGCTATAAATTTGAGCCCAAAATACATGTTTTTAGCAATAAATTCAATTCTCATAATTTTTGTCGATTATTTTTTCACTGTATACCAATATAAATTAAAATATGTTTGAAACATTTCATTACGTATGTAATATTTTGATATCCTATTATATCAAAAAAATGATGTAATAATCCATATATATATATATATATCATAATTAGCGAAATACAAGAAGAAAACTCTTCCCAAATTTTACAGCCTATGATCTATTTACTAAACCCAAAATTCCTTACTCCTTATAGAACCTGTTTAACTATCGTAGTGGAGCTTTTTAGCAGTGAACCCACAAGGAATGAGATTACATTCTACCTCTGGTTTCAAGTGTGAGCATGAACTGCAAAAATTCACGTATGGAGTCGATAGTGATGCAGCAAACTTTGCAGTACTTATCAACAATTTGCTTGAGTTTTCTTCTTATATCTTTATTCCTTGGGTTCGATGCAATCTCATACGGGCCAATTTACTTGAAGAAATCATTTACATTTCTCAAATCTATTAGGATACCAACATTCAACAAATCTAAGAATATAAAGCAATATTACATCCATCACATTTCAAACCAAAATTGCTCTGAAAGTAAATCCAAAGCCAGTTTCATAGTAGACATGCATTCACTATTAAACACATATAAACAGTCACTCTCAAGCTTCAATTGGTTCATAGAATTCATCACATCAGATTCGTTAGGCAAGCTTTCTTTAATTCCATTAATGTTAGATAAGATGACCATATCTATCATGGTAATTGAACCATACAAAGAATGATTGCAAGGGTTGAAGCAATCATCATGCGGATCCTTATCACCTTGATCGTGTTCTGGAACTATGAACACATATTTCCTTAGATTTGGCCCAAGATTGCAACTATTACAATTTTCTCATGAATCTCTATGATGGTTTACACTACAAGGCTACATACAAGCATCAATTGATATACAAGCCAGGTAAAAACAAGCTTAATTTTCGAGTTTCATTTAGGTAAAATAAGTAAATCCTAACCACAAGAGTGCAAGTCATAGTTCAAACGTTAACAGACACTGGATAAGGGAGTAGAAAAGTGAGCTAATGCGAGTAGTATTTTGCAAGGGAGGTATCTGAGGGTATATCTGCCAATTCATCATCAATGATATTATAAATAGGGATAGCAACGGGGGCGCCGCAGGGGGTCATTGGGGCGGGGGCGGGGGAATTTTTTCCCCTCATTTAGAAACGGGGCGGGGGTATACTCCCCTGCCCCACCCCCCACCTTGCCACCCGTTTGAAAAAATATATATATATATGTACATAATTATATATATAATGATATTATCAAATATACTACTAATTATACATGTCTATTAATAAAAATTATTAATTAATTATACTAAATTTATGAATACATTTATGTTAAATTCCTAACTACACTTAATACAATAACACTTTTTTTCTAAAAAAAACACAATAATAATTTAGTGATTGTATTTGTATAAAAAGTAAAAACTTGATTACTTTGGTTATATTTGTTTCATCATATTAGATTGTATTCAAATAGCCTTTGTTTAATTATTTTTATGAGTTTCAATTGTGAAGTTATAATGAATAATAATTTGGTGATGCGTTGATATTTTTATACTTGATTATTTGCTCAAATTTAATTATAATAAAATTATATAATAAAATTTTTTTAACCCCACGAGTGTCCCCGCGGGGGAAGCGGGGCGGGGCGGGGGAAGCCAGGGGTGCGGGACGGAGCGGTGGCGGGGAGGGGATTAAAATGCAACGGGGCAGAGGTTGGGGGAGGTGTCTCCCGCCCTACCCCCGCCCCATTGCCACCCCTAATCACAAATTGGGCCCAATAACCTGACAAGGGAGGTATATGATCTTTTGCAAAATTCAGGGAGGTGAGTGAGAATGCTAGAAACCTCAGGGGAGGTTTCTGAAATTATCCCTTTAATAAATTGTAGAGGCATACGCCACCAGTGGACCCAACGTGTGTTGATTATTAAGCTATGTGGGATATCGAGAACAACATACGTGTTAGCAAAAACTCAAAACTTTTGGGCAATGTACTCAAATGAATTTGACAGATATTGAAATCAGATTTACATCAAGATGTATTGCAATAAAAGAAGAAGGAAACAAATCTAGCAACAAATGAATATGGAAGCTGAACTAGTCCCACTTGCACGAGTTAGGATTACTTTTGCAATGGTGACATAATTAATGATTAAATTCAATAAAACAATTATACTATCTGGATGTTACAAAAAGAAAAATGAAATGAATCAACATCCCAATTCACAGGGGAGGATCAGATGTGATCTCAAAGGATATGTGCATGCTGCAAGGAGCAAAAGTCCTTTCTGGCTATGTTTTCAGAACCGGACCGGATATCGACTCGGCCGAGGTCAGGGGTCAGGGGTCAATGGGTTCGACCGGGGGTCGATAGGGGTTGAACCGGATGACGTCATAAATAAAAATTATTTAAAAATTAAATTATTGTATATAAAATATCCAATAACATATTGATATTAATAAAGGTATATTTATATATATTTGATGTTTCAAATATATTTAACAAGAAAATACAAAGAAATTAGAACAATCAAGTAACAATTTATATTATTTAATAAACATTAACAAGTTTAGAATTAAAATTATGGATTTAATTGAAAAATAACATCAAATTTTAGGACAATATTTATAAAGTATGAAATATTTTAGGTATATTAATAAGTTTTCACAATTTAGGAGGTCAAAACATAATATTAAAAAAGTTTGAACTTTTTTAACAAAATCTCCTGTTGGACCGGTTTTTCCGGTTCTGTACCGGTCAAACCCGGTTTTTGACCAGAGTTGACCGAGTTTTAAATCTCCCGGTTCTGATGACCAACTCGGACCGAACACTTGGCCGGTTCTCGGTTCAACCGGTCGGACCGGCCGGTCCGGTCCGAGTTTGAAAACACAGCTTTCTGGGCCTAAAACTGGTGAGCATTCAATGGCATGAAAATCATCTTCTCCACTTCTCATGCCATAAAGTATTGGTTCCTAACCACCAAAATTAGAGTTTTTAATGTCATTATCCTTTGATCATCTTGTCAGGGAAACCTGAACCAAGGAAAGTTTATATAAAATAAGGTTTCGTTTGATAAACTGAATCTGAATTCTGAAGTCTGAATTCTGAAATCTGAATACTGAAACAATTAATTTGCTGAATTTTAAACACTGAAAAAAAATTATGAATGTCTGAATTTTAATACTAAACATATTTATACTGTTTGATAAACATTTATAACCGAATGCCTAATAAGTTAAATTTGACAAATTTGGCCTTATATCTTTTCATCCAAAAAAGAAATAGAACCTATGATTTAATTAGCTAAAAATGTTAGGTATAAAAATGACAATATTTATTTTTAAATCAAATTAATATAAAAGATGAATTATATTATATGAGGAGTATGGAGAATAAGTAAAAGTCATTCAAAAAGGAGAAAAGAGAAATAGAAAATCATTAGATAGAGAATATTAGATTGTTTGATTATATAAGAATTTTGAACATAATTAATAAACAAGGGTAGATTTGATAGATAAGATAAGGTAGTTGAAGTAATTCTATTGATTCTTATCAGAATTAAGCATTCAGTTAGGATTCTTGTGCTGAAAAAAATACACACAAGTTCAACACTACTTAACAAGTTCAGCAAATGGATTTTCATTTATTAAACACTCAAAACATCTGAATGTCTGCAAAGGTTCAGATTTAGTACTTTTTTATGTTATCAAACAGACCCTAAGTTAGAAGTTAGAACCTCCCAACTTGTTTCCAAAATCTGCTGGGATTAACAATTGTTAAGAAATTAAATGAGCCTTCAATTCCCAGAACATTCAAAAGCAAATACTTGGGCAACTAAGTATTCAACTTTCAAGAATACACAATAATAGTCAATTACATACCTGAGCCACCATATTTTGTCAATGAATGGGGACTTCAACTTATCAGAAAACTCCAAGTCATAAAACTGTACAAACAAGTTGTAAAATCATCAAAAATAATCACTTGGAACCAAATCATGATTAAACTAAGTACCAAAAGTAAGGGTCTGTCTATTTACTGCCATTAGGCACCAAATAAGAAGTGAGTCCAATATTATCCTTTCTCCGAAAAGACAATTTAATCCGCTAAAGTGTTGCAATTCAGGGGATCAATAGTAATTTAGAGCATTAATAATGCACTTACTTTCCTTTTGAGTGGATTTACTTTCCTTTTGAGTATGTTTAGGACACCAAATAGAAAAAACGAAAAAAGTAATAGAGTTTTAAACCAATGCAATCTCTATCTCTTCGTGTTGGCAATTATTAAGTAAGGAGAACATGTACCAAGTATAAAGAGAAGTAATGGCAACTACGAATCCCACCCTTTCCCTGCTAAAAAAAATTTAAACAAAGAATATGTACTATTTATTCTTGATTTAAGTCTAAATGTCCTTGTATCGAATGGTAGTTTATTGTTGAACGAGTGAATGTGTTTCAATGGTTCATTTCTACCAGCATATTATCACTGGTTTGTCATCATAAACAAGAGAGATTGAAGATCTTATGGCCTTAACTCTCTAGTTTTAATAATTAATAACAAATGGTGAAGTGGACTAATGTCTATAGTTGAGTACGATGAAAGAAATTTATAATAATCCATGGAAAATAAAGAATGCACGTCAATGAAGTCAAAAGAGGCAAAATAATGATGAAAAATGAACTAGGTACTGCTTAGTCAAATTGTCAGTGCAGTTGGTTTTCATGACCGTGTTTAGTAAAAGAAAAGGTGGATACAGAAAACATAATTCTCTTAGCAATTTCAGCTTTCGTGTCACCAATCTCTGTATATTGGAGATTGTGGACCTTTCTCCAATATACAGACTCTGCCACATAAGGGAGAGAGAATATGCATAGAGTAGTGTAAGGAACACAGACCGACCATTTAGTAAGCTCCACCGCTTCCTGCTTATCATCTTCAGTTCCTGCATCCGGTGAAAGAAACCAATGCAAGTTTATAATCCTCAACCACTTTCAAAAAGCAGAATGAATTATATCAATCTCAGCCAGGAAAAGATAAGTTGTCTATCAATGTAACAATCATGAACAATTTATACACTCCTCAGGAATTACTTAGCAGGCTCTTAGTGTAGAACAAGATATGGATAAGTACCTTCCCCCTCAGCATCATCATTTTCTGGCCCCAGCTCTGGATCAGAGCCCTGCCTATCACCTCCATCATCATTGTCCCACTGGTGGCATCCAGAAATCGTCTTCTTCCTCTGACTCACTGTCCTTCTCAGAAACAATTCTTGCTTCTGAGACAACTTCAACAACAGTCTCTTCCCGAATCTTCTTCTCTTTCTTCAATCCATCATCCTTAACCTTTGATTTCTTCTCTGCCTTTTGACCATCATCCTGTTTCTCCATTGCTCCATTTGTTATACTGTGTCCAGTTTCCACTTTCTCCCTTCACAATACCAAATGAAAAAGATAAGGTTGATGTCCAAAATGGAAGCTCAAAATGAGTGTAATACACAATGACTCCACATTTTGCACAGGTAAATCCCCAGGCATTCCAATTATGAACAGCTCTCTCATGTAACAAAAACGGAAACTAAAACAGGACAAACCTAGCACATTGTGGAAACGTTTGCCGTTAATATGCTTCCAGATATGCTCTCCTGATTTGTTGACAGTAAATCCCGTTAGAATGCAGATTTAGCTTCGAACTGCAAGAGGGAACCCAAAACTTACCAAAAATGTTTCCATATGTACCAGAATAAACCAAGCATAAAAAATACATACTTTCAGGCTTAGACTACCCAGGGCAACCTATGCAGAGCAAGGTTGTAGGGAATTAGAGATTAAATCATTATAAGACAAGGCAAACCATATTTGCACCCCAAAAATAGTCCCTTGGGTGTCCACCTTCCTTCATGTAAGAAAATATTTGAGTGAAGCGCCAGAAGCTAATCTTGGAGTGCAAATACACTCGCCTAAGATAAGAGTCAGAGTCGCAACAAACATTGAATTTGAGCATACATAAATGGAACCCCAAAAAAAAAAGTACTCAACAAAATAAATAAATAGATAAAACTGAGTGCTTTGACACTGCAAGTTCTGCGGAGAATCCAAACAATCGAGTTTCTCGCTAGGGAACTGCTACTTTCTTCTGCTATACAAGAGAACCCAGAAGTTAACTAAAATTACAAACGAGAATGGAATCCTTTATTTCATCTACTACTAATTGCATTATAGACGAAAGGAGACTAGTCGAGACGAGACAGCCTAAAAATTCTTCCATGGAAACGAAATGAGCGTTAAAGTAACAAAACTACAACTCATCCAATTCACTTCGCTGCACAGGCCAGCTCTGTTCTGTTGATTCCAAATATGTTCGTTTCATACACACACTTAATCAGCTAAAACACAATCTCCACAAAACTGAACTAAGAAAACACAAGCAATCACAAAAACCAATCTTGCAAATTTGGACGCAGTTTACATACGCATGGAGATTCTACTAGCGCAATCAACGCCAAAGAAAAAACGATTGAGAGACCAAGAAGAAGGGAAAGCCAGAAACATAAGAGCCCGTGGTTAAATGAATAAATGCCGGGCTGAGGATCTTGACGGAACATATTGAGGGGAGGTTTGCTGTTGGAAAGAGCGGCGTCGATGAGGCCCAAGCGGCGGCATTGCTTGCTGTCTCTGGCATGGGCCGGCAGCTTGTGACCCGTCTCCACGCACTTGAACCGCCCACTCTCCTCCTTCAACCTCGGTGGCCCCAAAAGATATTCCCCTTCTTTGCCTGATTCCTTCTTTCCTTCTTTAACTACTTCCCCGCCTTTCTTTTCCATTGCTGCTGTCACCCAAGGGCCTTGCACACAGTAGATGCTCTGTCTCACTTCATATTTCACTCTTTATCCCGTGTTTATTAGGTTGCTATTTTTTATTTATAAATATCATATTTTATTTTTGTTTGCTTCGAAACATCCGATGACTATTTCTTTAATATCTAATAATTATTAACTGAAAATATACTAAATTTAACGAACTCAAAACATTAAAGTACATAAAAAATGAGAATTTTTTCTATGAATTTGCTACTGTATTTTTTATTTTCAATTATATTGATAGGGTGTTAATTATTAGTAATTTTACTGTTAATTTTCCCCTTTGTCCTTATTAAATATTATTTTAAATTATTAATATATACTTATATTTGGTATTTGGACCTATCTAAAGGAAGTGGAACTGACAAATGCTAAAAAAGATATTTTATTGAGAAAAATCCTGCACACACTAGAGCCTCCGGTGGATATACAAGTTGGGCCCGCATGGTGCTACAAAAACTCCATTTTCGGGTGCTGATGGAGAGCTCTTATTTATTGGTAGTTGACTTGTACGTGTAGGAGTCCTCCTACCAAGAGGAAACAAGAAAAGTGGAATTGGCAGGGGCGTTCCTCTTGTACTTGGACTCCCAATTTGCTCGCGGGACCACTGGAGATAGCATTAGTCATTTTTGGCTTTTAAAAACAAGGACAAGCGTACAGAGGCTGGTTATCGATAGTTTTAGGATAGTTTAGTTTAGTTTTAGTTTTTCCTTCTTTTTCCTTTTGTCAGGCGCACGCCAACTGTTCGATAATATTTTTTAACAGAAAAAAAATCTTTTACTCTTGCTTTCTAGTGAAAAATGGGATGCCTTTGCACTCAATTAATTTGCGTGAAGATTTATTTAAGCAGCGTGGCTAAGCCTTTCATCTAGTCGAAAACCAACTTGAAGGTGTGGTTCCAAATAGGGGTGATATCGAGTCGAGTCGAGCTCGAGTAGTGCACTACTCGAGCTCGACTCGAGGCAAAATAACTAGGCTCGAGCTCGAGCTCGAGCTCGTCAAGCTTTTAAAATTCGAGCTCGAGCTCGAGCTCGACATCAATTTATGGAGCTCGAGCTCGAACTCGAGCTCGAGTTTAATTAAATGTAATTAATTCAAATCAAGCTCAATCGAGCTTATTCGAGCTCAATCAAGCTCAAGTAATAAAAATTAATATTTTATATATAATTTTAAATAAAGGATATTATTGACATTTCACAATAATAAAAATAAAAATATATATTATAGAAAGCTCGATAGAGCTCGTCGAGCTCTCGAGTATTATATTACCAAGCTCGAGCTCGACTCGATAGCTCTAACGAGCAGCTCGAGCTCGAGCTCGAGCTTGGTCAACCGAGCTCGAGCTCGAGCTGTTGACCAAGTAGCTCGCGAGCTCGAGCCGAGCTACTTGGTTCAGCTCCAGCTCTAGTTTCAAATATCTGTGAGATCGAATTATTTTATTTATTTCTTTTATTCATTAATTTTTTGTACGTCTCCTGATTTAATTGCTTATGCTTGTTATGTTATTTGAATGTCAATGGTCCGATATTCGAATTAACCTAATGATCTAATGCCAAATTAATTGATTGAATCCGTAATTGTTCAATCGATTAATACCAGTGGCGACTAGCGTGTTTTGTTTCATATTAGGGAAACGTATGATCTAATTTATTGACCTTGGTTGATCAGTCCTTGGTTTTGATGATTAACAAACCAAAATGTAGATTTGGACTAATGTTTTTATGTGAGAAATTTGTTAGAACAGGTCATTGATCAAAAAGAGAATCGAAAAGATTTGAATCAAAGAGAAGTTAAGAAATATGAAGGTTCGGACGTAGAGGATCGGACGCTCGATAGAGGATCGGTCGTCCGACTGACGACGATACTCTTCGGACGCTCATTCATTGCTTCGGCCGTCCGACACAAAAAGAATGAACGTTGAACATTCTGACTTCTATCGGACGCAGGGTTCGGACGCAGAACAAATGGTTCGGACATCCGATAGGTGGTTCGGACGCATGGTTCGGACGCAGAGCAAATGGTTCGGACGTCCGACAAGCCAACGGCTAGTTTCGACAGCATTTAATATTTGACCGTTGGAGAGCCTTTTGGAGTCATTTCTCACCTTCTATAAATACCCCAAAGCACAAGAAAACACAGACTTTTGGCCAACACTAAATACAAGCTTACAAGTGAGATCTTTGAGTAGAAATATTCTTTGTTGGTTGTGTAAGGGGTTGGGAAAGTTGGGTTGTGAGGTTGCTCAAGTGAAGATTACTCTCTAGGAGGAGTAAAACCTTGGTGAAGGTGAACCTATCACTTGGAGTGGTAAAACCTTGATAAAGGTTGCCTCACTTGTATAAAGTAGTTCTTAATTGAATGGGTAAGTTTTCAATTGTAGTTAGTTGAGGGTTTACTTGGAGAGTAGTAAAATTTCTTTGCTCAACCAAAGTATGTTTGGGGTGAGGAAGGAGTGAGCCTTCACTTGTACAAGTTGGTTAGCACTACCATCAATTGAAGAAACTATTTGGTGGATTCAACTCCAAATTTGGAAGAAGCTTGGGAGTTTGATTGGTTTGAATTTCTTTTACTTTATTGTTACTCTATTTTTGTGCTTTAAAATTGCTTATATTCTTTGTCATTGTATTTACTTGACTACTTGTCTGGTTGAGTATTTTGGTTGTATTTGGTTGCATCGGGGCTTACATAATTTAAACAAACCCTCGTAGCGTGTTTGTTGGTTAGGGTTGGGCTTTTCTAATTATTAATGCAATCGAGTAATTAAATCCTATGGTCATACTTAGGGTTATTTCTTGGTTAGAGAAATAGTTAACGGTCGTACCTTAACTATCGAGAAATTAAGGAAAGGCTGGTTGTTCATCGCATGTATGACAACTATAACCAATCTATTAATGAGTAATTGAATTATCTTTGCATCGGTGATCAGTTGCATGGACCGTGTCTGAAAAGTTGTACCTTTGGTTAGAGCCATATTGGTTATTGATTAATTCTTATTTATTTCTATTAGTTGTTTCATTAGTTAGTTAATTAGTCATTTTATATTTTTCAAAAATCCCCCATGCGTTGAACTCTAGAAGAAACGAATTATCCCCAGTCCCTGTGGATTCGACCCTGCTTACCGCTATATATAAAATTTGTATTTTTCTTGAGTAGGTAATTATTATTGCACAAGCTCGACCCCTGTCATACATAATTTTTTGAAATTGTTGTATTTATTTTTTATTATGTTAGTAATTATTTGACAGCAACATATAAAAAATAAGACAGGAAGTGAAGTAAGAAGTAGAATAGAAGACAACAATGTCTTTTACACAATAGAATCTTTGTCTTTTCTAATTAGAGTTCAGAAGTGTCAAGCATAATGCAAGGAACTAGGGGAGGGATGGATTTTGTGGCTCCGTGTGAGAGTGTAAATACGAATACTCGAATTCAAACCATTCCACTCTCACTTAAACTAAAAGAAGAAAAGGCATAATGCAAGGAAAAGTGTGCAAACCAGGTCGTTTCAGTGTGGTAAAAGCTTTTTTCTTTTTGGAATCAATTAAATGTACAAATTTTTTTGTTTTTTATTTTTATTTTAATCTGTGCAAGTTGGAATTTACGGAACAAGAAGTGGAACTGAAAATTTACAAAGTTTGACTTGATTGATGAAAATTTCTAATATGGTGAAGTGTTAAGAATCTTATTTCTACCTTTTAAACCAATCCATTTTTTCTTTTTTTACTGCTATTTTTCTCATTTAACCTTTTTCAACTACTTTTAAAATTGTAAAATAACATTTTTACAAGAGGTACAAATAATATGGGTTTGTCCCTCTTCGTTTTCTTGTAATTATTCAAGATTTTGACCATGGATGAAATCTAGGGGGAAATGTTTTTTGGGCAACAAAATCTAGTGGGGAGTTATTACTAATGTTAAGCACAAAATTATTGGTTGGGAACATTTT